AAACAACAATTATTAATGAATCTATATGAACAATACAATGCTAATATTATTGCACTTCAAGATATCAAACTAACATATTCAACAGTTCGCAACCTCAAACTAACCTTAGACAATTCTTATACTATCTTAACAAATACCCAATTAGATCCTAACGAACATAACACCGGAGTCACATTAATATTTAAAAAATATATAGCTGATCACATCTTTAACTACAGTGGTTTTTGGGGAAGGATCATCTATGCAGACATCCAACTTCAAAATAAATATCGTATTCATATTATCAATTTGTATATTACCCCTCCAGACAATATTCTTCGAAAAAAATTATATTCAAAATTATCCTTTCTTTTTAGTCAAGCAGCTGAGCTTTTTATGCAGGTGATCTTCATGAGCAATCTTAACACTGAACCTAGAAGGCACTTCAATCCTAAACATTCTAATCAATTTTTTCGAAACCTGGCAAATTGTAATCTATTCAATATTGGAGATATCTGCTATGATGATGCTAATACAAGACTCCCTACCTTCCATAGAAATGGCTGCAACCCAAGTAGAATCAATCATATATACTGCTCCACCGAATTAGCTGCGCAAACAATTGAAGTATCTTCTACTCCAACAGATCTTTCTGACCACTATTTACTTATTGCCACCTTGGAATGCCCGGAACTAGTAACCAAAAAATCATCCTCTCCAATCAAAAAAAGTATTTTGACATAGATAATATGAATCAAGAGACCTGATGTAACTTTGCTAATAAAACAGTCGGTCTGAGTAATTTTACATGCAAAAGTAACATTAATTTCTTCTGGAATCAAATACAGAGCATTATTATTACTGCAGCCGATCTCACGATACCCGTTAGACAATCTAGTACCCACTCTAAAGATATCTGGCCAACGCTTTTGAAACATGCATATAGTACACTTAAAAGCTTACAAAAATGGTTGAAAATCACCAATGAGATTCTCAAAATGCAGACCTTTAAAATAGAATGGAATAAATTTATTGTTAAAATCTCACCAATTGCCCAAGAAATGCAAATTTCCTTTTTAAAACATGGCGATCCATTAACTAAGGTCCAGATTAATGCACCTCTTATAAAACAACTCTATCATGCATTTACAGTGAAAACTCGACTAATAGAACAAGAATATAAAGTGAAGTCCATCAAGGCGGCGCTAGAAAAACGATGCTAAGATTATAAAAATAATCAATCGGATATGATAGATTCCTTAATTAATCGACATAAAAAAACAATTCGTTTAGACTGATGTATGGATAGATCTCTCAATAATAATGGGCTACTTACGGACCCAATCGACATTATTAATGAAACCCAACGACATTTTCAACAAGTAACTGGCACTGTCCACCATTCCAAAGTGGTACCAGATGATTGGATTCCTTGGTATAACCCTAAAGACGATATCGATCCACTTATTTATAGCGACCTTATGTCTGTACTGACAGAAAATGAATGGGAGACTGTGCTTAATAATCTTCCCTCTAACAAAGCTTCAGGACCGTTCAAAATCAATAATGAAATGCTTAAAAACATAGGTGTACAAACAAAAAAGAAATTTTGGATTTTTATCTGCAGCTGCCTTGGAAAATCGATCCTCCCAGATGCATGAAACGTTGTATTCGTTTATCCAGTTCCTAAACTGAAACCATGGGCATACGACTTGAATAACATAAGACCTATCACTTTACTTGAATGCCTGAGAAAGGCAATGGTCAAACTTATTAATAACCGACTACTATCTATTCTATCTAGACATAACGTTCTGAAAGGATATAACTTTGCAGGACTGCCACATAGGTCGACTAAAGATC